ATTTGGTGGAGTTGCACGGTGTTGAAATTGGGCAAAAAAGTAGTGTTGGTGCGCCCAGACGCTAGTGCGAACAGACTTTTGAGTTAGTACTGTACTAGGTAATGTCCTTTTTCTGGGGCATGTGGGTCTAACTAAACGCCTGCTAGGGCGCCTGGGCAGGCATCGCCACATGGCAGACAGGCACATTACGTCTGTCAATTGTCAATGAGGCTGCACCGGTATTCCGATGGCATGGCGACCGACAGACGTCGAGTAGGTCGACTAATAAGACGAGGGCGGGTAAGGATATGCGGGGTAGGGTAGTAGGTGCATGAGGGGGTGGCCTAGTACATCCTCGGCTCATGGTAGCCAGCTTATAGGTCAACTATTCTAGTACGCGCAAGCTTTACACCTAGCATAGTTATCCATCTTCATCATCACACACTCTTGAAAAAAGCATCATCAGTCTCCTAGAATAGCTTCAAGATGGCACCCAAGAATAAAGTACCGGCCTACGTGCTGGGCGTGGGCCTCACCAAGTTCATCAAGCCCCGACAGACCCGAGCTTACCCGGAAATGGGCTACGAAGCTGGCGTCAAGGCTATGCTGGATGCGCAAATCAACTACGACGATGTCGAAACTGGAGTCGCTTGCTACTGCTATGGCGACACGACGAGTGGTCAGAGAATCTTCTACCAATTCGGTATGACCGGGTCAGATACTACGAGCATTCCACTTTTACTAGCATGGTTCGAGTATACTGACTCGCAAGTAGCATCCCAATCTACAACACAAACAATGCATGCGCCACAGGCTCAACCGGCCTGCATCTTGCTCGCACCATGATCAAAAACGGAGCCATCGACTGCGCTCTTGTGATTGGATTCGAGCAAATGCAACCAGGCTCCATCAAGTCCGTCTTCAGTGATCGACCCTCGCCCATGGGCCTGTCGATGCGCATGATGGCCGACACCCGCGGCATCAGCAACTCCCCGCCCAACGCGCAGTACTTCGCCAACGCCGGCAAAGAGTACATGGAAAAGTACGGCGCCGAAGCCCGCGACTTTGCAGAAATAGCACGCATCAGCCACGAGCACAGCTCGCGGAACCCCTACGCCCAATTCAGAGACGTCTACACGCTCGAGCAGATCGAAAAGTCGCCCATGATCCACTTTCCACTGACAAAACTGCAATGCAGTCCCACCAGCGACGGCGCAGGCGCCGCCGTACTCGTGAGCCAGAAGTTTCTAGACGCCCGTCCGCATCTCAAGAGCCAGGCTATTCTCATTGCAGGCCAGTCACTCATGACGGACACGCCGCAGCTCTACTCCAAGTCCTCCATGGACCTCGTCGGCTACGACATGACGAAGCGCGCAGCGCAAGCCGCGTTGAAGGAAGCTGGTGTAAATCCCAAGGACGTCAAAGTCGCCGAACTCCACGATTGCTTCTCGGCCAATGAGCTTATTCTGCTCGAGGGACTGGGGTTCAGTGAGCAGGGGAAAGCGCATCTGATGGTGCGTAATGGCGATATTACGTATGGCGGTAAAGGTCCCATTATCAATCCTTCGGGCGGCCTCATCAGCAAGGGACATCCGCTTGGTGCAACGGGTCTCGCGCAATGCGCAGAACTGACATGGCAGCTGCGTGGCTGGGCTAACAACAGGCTTGCTGAGGGCGCAGATGTAGCATTGCAGCATAACCTGGGGTTGGGTGGGGCTGTCGTCATCAATGTGTACAAGCGTGCTGATGGTGGCAAGAATGTCAAGTTGAGTGATGGCGACGTCAAGCGTGTCAGTCAGTTTGCGTATAACCCGGCGGTGGAGGCTCGTTATGTGACCAAGGAGGAAGGCGACAAGGTGAGGAGCAAAGCTGCGGCTTCGGAATACGCGCTTGGTGATACGCTGGAGAAGATTCAGAGTCGGTTGTGAAGTGGACCCGTACGCATAGGATTATAGCGGCGCATACATTCTGAAAAGATTTCGGGATCAAAAAATTGTATTTTTCAAAAATTGAATCCAAGATATCTAAATCTAAAATGAGTTACAAAAAGGGAGAAACGAACCAAACATTACTCCCGCTAGAAAACAACAAAATCATCTACAGTCATGATGGATCTTCATAAAGATCTCTATTGAGGTCTTCTAAAATATCTTCTGGATGGTCTTCTGCTGGCTCCAAAAACCGAGGATCGATGGTTTGAGGCCATTGCGTATTCGTATAATTTGGATCATCCAACGCCGGGCACTCTTCGGGCAATGCCATGTGCTCTGGCAACATCGTTTGCGTGCTGTCCAAGTCTGAAATTTCAGTGCTTTCGGACAGTCGACGGTAGTGGTGCGGCGAAGTAAGGGGAGTGAGAAGCGAGCCTTCTATCGGGTCATATGCCGAAGATGAATTTGCTTGTGACGGGAAAGGCGTATGAGACGAGGAGGTGCCTAAGTCGGCACGACTTGATTGTCTACTCAGAAGAGGAGCACAATAGTTGATGCTAGGAGGTCTTGTCGGCTCATGTTGTGTCGACTGGTGCTGTCCAAGCCAATCATGCGGCATAGTAGTGTTACTGGAGCCGAAAATGTATTCACGAGGTTGAATAGGGGTGGAAACAAAGCTCTCTGGTACTGGTGTACTGTGGTCTTGGGGCGGTTCATGCGGAGGGTGGTCATTTGCCATGTCCACCACTGTCGCAGCTTCGTTGGCGATGGTTTGTATACGCCCCAGCTCACCATACAAGGCTCTCTCAGCCAAGGTCCCAAAACGTTGCGCAGTATCGTGAAAAATTTGACTGAGGGGATAGCTCGCGCCGTGATACAATGGTGGGTTTCCGCTGGGTTGGAGATTGTTGGTGAAACCTAGCGTGGCGCCGGTGGCAAGAACGCCATCGGGATGATTGGAGATCAGTGTATTGAGCAGATTCAACATGTCGATCACAAACTGCGAGGCGGCACGATGCGATTCATCAGGAATAGAATCTGTGGGAGGTAAAGTGCTGTGGTCTGCCTCCCTCTCTGTGCGTGCTTGCTGATCTAAAAAAGAAGTCGATGTATCGCGTAACAAGGCTTGACATTCTTCCCATATTCTGTGAGGCAACCAGTCATCCTCATCACAATCTATCAAGAAGCCATCAGCACAACGAATTCATCATGGAAAACGGTAAACTTACAGGGGCTGGGAATTCGGGTAACTCCAGGATAGCGTAGCATATATAGTCGTGCCCATTCTCTAACAATATCTCGACACTGAGGATTGAATCTACATCTCTTCGGGTTGATGTGTGCATTGTAGAGATATTGGTCGTCGAAATCCTTCTTGCAGTTGGAACACTGCCAAGCCCCTGGGCGGCCGCGATGAGTTACCCGGTTGAGATGGTGCCGAACTTGAGCCATGACAGTCTCACCGCATCCACGGCAAGGTGATGGCCCGAGGTTGGGATACATAGCATGGTGCTTGTGATCGGGACAGTCAACCTTTCTAGACAGTGGATCCTTGGTCCGGTTGCTTTTGGCAACCTTGAAAGTATTTTGCTCTCGACGACTAGGTGTCATCTTTCCTTTATCCCGGTAGTTTGGGTTTGGCTTGGACATGTCAGTACCCCGAGCATTTGATGCAGAACCTTCACCCCTGGAACGACCAGTAGTTCCGGTAGATCCAGAAGGGTGACAGTATGGCACAGCGTCGGTCATTCCTTGGTCAGTCGGATCGATCGAGCCAGACTCGATAGCGCGAACAATAACGTTGATTTCTTCTAGAACTCTCATGTACACATGATATGCATCAGACCTGGAGACTGTTAGTATACAAATAGCGCGCATGTTATTAGATCACATACTTTACATGCCTGAGGTACTGAACCATTCTCGTCAATAAGGTCAGGAACATATCGCGAAGCCGGGCGTACGTCTCATGGTCCAGTTGTGTATATATCCGGCACAAGGCATCTCGGGTGGAACGAGGTACCTCATCTATATCGATAAGCTGTGTGAATCGCGGTAGCGGTGCCGAAAACACATCCCCCTTCTTGTCCAGACGAGACACAGTCCGGCGGCATGAGCCATTACCACTAGGGTTGCAGTGCAACTCAGGATGATGCTTACGTTCATGTTTGACACGAGCATCTTGGCGCGCAAAGGTTCTGGAGCATCCATGAGCTGAACATGTGAGCGGAACTCTGGCTGCTTTGGAGTGTTTGTGTCTTGCATGGCGTGCAAGGTTTCCACGCCTGTACCGTCCTGTAAACTCAACGCCGCATTGACTGCAACCCAAAGTATTCCCATCAATGACGGTGGATATGGATATGATTGGCGGAACAGAGCTTGGAGAAGGAGTCGAAGATGAGTTTGCTGGAGGGGGGAAAGACGGGCGAATCGGTGGGGCTACTATATCGGCGTGGTAGTGCTGGTGGGCATGTTCGCGGGTGGACGTCGGGATGCAGTGGAGGTATGAAGGCGCGTACTCATCGACCTAGCTTTGGTGAGTGTGATGATAATCATGCTTCTATCTTAACTTACTTCAGTGACGTAGGATGATTCCGATGCCGGATATCCGGTAGTAGGACTGATAGGTTCTCCATAGACATGGGAATCATGAACGGCCGATGGATAGAGCGCACCCTCTTCTGGGGGAAGCGGGAGAACAGTTGCACTATCGTATCGCTGATCGTATATGGTGCGTGCGTGCCTGGACATGATGTAGGATAGCAATGATGTCTATTGGTATTGATGATATGGAGGAAGTCTAGGCGATGAGGAGGGAGTTGGACACCAAGCAGATGAGGGGGGTCCCTATCATTTAAGCATCTTCATGAGCATGGAATAGCGGGTAAGAAAAATCAGCCAGGGCACGGCGAAAATAGAGGGCGTGGGCTAGTAGAGTATAAATACTAGAAGCGTGTGACACAGGGGCACGCCAGGGCACGCAAAGGTGTGCAGGTGGAGAAGTAGATGTGACGACATAGAGGCCGGCAACTGTGCAAGTGTGCGTGCGGTAAACATGGAGAATCAACAACCACGATGGATCACGGAAATTGGATCCTGCAAGCGGCGCCGGGGGAGATCTACGCGAAATGCAGCGCCGACGGCGGGGGAGGGGAGATGGGTGGGTAAGGAGGGGCGGGAGGAGTGTGGAAACGACGTGGCCCTGCTCCCTCTAGTGTCGAAGCAGCTGCTCCGGCCATGGGCGGGAGAGGCCTGCAACTAGGTGTGCTGATAAGTGTGCGGGGCACTAGACCTTGTTGAAATGGCGTGGTGTTGATGCGTAAACGACGCTATGCATGCAAGGCGGCCCTCAAGGCAGCATGCCAGGCACGACTGTGTCTTTGGCTCCGGCTGATCTGGTATGTTGAAACACGACATCGAGAGCAGTGCCAGAAAGCAGGTGGTAGGCACCGGGCCCATATGCTGGATCCTTCCGACTGTCGTAAACCAAGCGGCTTGACGTGACCGGAAGCAGCAGCGCCATCAAGCTGGCCAAGCCAGGCCGAGGGCGGAGGACCAAGTACTGAAACCTTCAGTTGTAACGGATAATGACTACGGTGTGTACAAAAAAATTGAATGGTGTCATACTGATCCGCGGGCGTTAGACTCGCTTGGGCGTTAGAGCGCATGCAGTCAGAGCCGGCCTGTTGGATAGATAAGCGAGAGAGGGAGAGGAGTCGAGATTGGAAGAGGAAGGAAAGGAGGGGGGGTCAGAGACTTGGTGGGACAGCACTGAATTGTGATATCGGGGAAGCATGGGTTGGCGGGGCACTTCGGCTGCATCCGCGCTGGGAGAGATAGCCGTGGTTGTTTGGCAGAGAGAGGGATGAGGTGCGTGGGCGGTACGACGTGGTAGTGTACTCTATCCAGAAGGTTGCATGTAGCCGATGCGTCAAATGCACAGTTACGGGCGGTTACAGCTTCCCCCGGTCGTCGCTATGGCCTGTTAGGGTGAAGTACCACTTGATTCCGCACATTTCAGCGCAGCCCTCGCTCCAGATGCCTGCCGTCTGAGCTCTTTCGAGTATCGCGTTATGGTTATCCTTGCCCTTGACGCCCACAGTGATGGATACGAGTCCTTCTGGAAGCCCGTCCTGGCCCGAGATGAAAGCCAGGCGGGCGTTGGTAAAAGCCACCGTGTCGCCACTTCGTGACACGCCAAATATTTCTTCCCACTGTTGCGCCGCGCCCTCACGGTCGACGTCACCAGGCTCGAGCCGCAGTACACAGCCCTCTAGTGCCAAGTGGCCCGTCTGTTCCATGCCGCGCATGTAACTCTCACTGGCTGGTCCACAGGCATGCCATGGGGAGAAGCGGGTTCCTATGGGGTTTGGATTCGCTGGCCCAGGTGTGTGCGAGTCGAGTTCAGGCATCAAGCCGCCTAGTTGTAACCCCTCATCAGCCACCACCACGACGCCTGCGCCTCCTCGCTGACTGCGCCTGCGCCCGCGCATATAGCCGAACTGGCCATGGGACGAACGTACCTTTGATCCCCTTTGGATGATACTGGATGCATACCGCATCTCTGTACTCGTGCTCGACAATGACGCTAGCCAACTTGTTCGCAGTGATGTACTCGCGCCGCTTCTTTGCATCCCCGGTCTGCATGACAATCATGAACCCTCCATCCCCGCGCTTGTCGAGCAGCCTGCCAACCGTCGTACGCTCCTTGACCGGCGAGACAACCTCGATAAAGTCGCCGCCTAGCGGAACTGCAGTCGCGTCAATTACGAGCCTCGGGAAACGCGCAGGGGCTACGTGCCCATGAAATTCTTCAATCCCCACTGCTCCACGGCATCATCCTCGAATGCAAAGCCTATGCCCAGGACATATGTCTGAAATCACCATCAGCTTCCAACGGGTACTTTTACTGTCGTTGTCGTACAAGCAGCTGCCTGGCGTTGTCGAGATCCTTTGCAGCTAGTGCAATCTGCCGGAGGCGTGTTGGTGCAGGTCCCAGCTTGGCGTGGCTTGTGCCTTTCTCTTCAGCAGACATGTCGAGTGGCGCGTTATTCAGATGGAGTGTTGCAACTATCGTGAGAGGTTTGCTTGTGTGATTTGTAGACGCGTACTTATGTATTTAGTCTCCTCGGCTCAGCATCGCTTTTCCCCGCATTCATTCCGGCGCTTCCTTGTCGCTTTGCGGCCTGCACCCTTGCGTAGTGTCGTTTGTTAGTGAACAAGAATCAAGCTACTGTCCAAGTGGGTTCACCGCCGCGTCAGGTAGTGTACAAGTAGATGTCATGGCAGACGTGGTACGGCGAAGCAGCTCATAGACGACTGTTGTTGGGAGCTCGGGCCGATGACATCGTTTCGTCTCCACGACAGCAAACCGCTCCTTCTCTCATATGTATTTGCGAGGAACGAATACGTCAGTCACGCATTCACATGACCAAAAGTCTATATGGTCAATTGATTCAAGTACATCATAATCTTACAAGTGAAAGTGGCGGCAATGACTTCGTTGTGTCCAATATGTCTGCCGTGACGTTGATACGATTCTTTCTAATATAATTTTGAATCAGCTGATTGATCGTGCATGATAAAGAATTTAAATGCAGAAATAGGGCTACAGTTCAGTAGAAGAGTCCAGAATTGAGAGCTCTGCCACGTTGGCATATCCAAAAGCACGTCGCCGTCTCGAGTACACCCAGAAGACATTCTATCCGTATACACCAACGTACTGATTTGGGTAGCACAGGTTTTGAGAAGACAGCGTATGTGGATCACGATCTATCCTCACTAGCTACAGTAAAAACTCTCGGTTAAAAACTACCACGGTCTAGTTTTAACGGGCTAGGGCCTCTGCTTCCTGATCTTCGTCTACGATCTCGGTGTTTATCTCTTGTGTGTCCTAGTCACCAATCGTCTTACATGCCTTACCATTCCTACAATCTGAGATGCATAGATAGCTACATAGGCTAGAAGCTTATCTGTCTATCGGATGCTACCTTGCTACCTGATATTGCCTGACATAGCTCGTTGGGCGGAGAGAGCGCAGTGGGGCTTCTTTGGGATACCAACATATTTTTTACTACGATATCAAGGAATCTGGAAAGTCAAGAGTGCTAAAATTTCCCCCTCAAAATAAAAAAGCGACTTCTGAATTTTGAAGATGGTGGAAGTTTTGTGGTATGCTTCTCTTGATACTCTAATTTGTAGAAAGGAGATTTTAAGCCTTAGCAGTGAAGAAGCTTTTTAATATCCGCTTAATTGACTACTACACCAATTCTAAACTAAGATATACTGTGTCTCGCTACTTTAGAGAAAAGCCCTGTATTCAATACACTCCATTACATATCGCTCCTTGTGGTTTTTCACTGCACCTCGAGTCGTCTCCCTTATATGTATTATATTTGCTACATCTAACTTAAATAAAGTCCCTTAGTAGTTGTACATAGGCTTAAGATCTGTATAGCAGCGAATTGGATGAGATAAGTTAATGTTGCTAAGCCTCCGCGCTCCTTTACCCTGTAGCTGTCTAGTTCCTTTTGCGCGAGTTGAATGATAGACATTGTATGAGGACCTAGGTCACCCAATATGCATTGTCGCACGCGCATTTCGTAAGGCAAAAGAGGCAATGCCTCAATTCTTACCGGTTTGAGGTCGCAAGCAGGGATGATCTTTGCGAGCCAGTGACAGCTGCATATACGTAGCGGGGCAAATGGGGCGCAGCCCTCGACTGCAGCTACATCAACAACAGTGTGCATGGTTTTAGGGGCTGAAACAGCGCATGCAGCCGAGGGAAGAGGTGGGCTATAGTTTTTCTGTGCTTTAGCGAGTCCAAGGCTTGATTAGAATGGAGCTGGTATAAGTATGTGGCCCATCCAGTTAGGGCGTATCTTGACAGAAACTCGTGTCAGTCCTTTGCAGAATTGAAGACATAGCTAAGTAAGTGATGCGCCAATTACATGAAACATGATAAGAATTTTATAATCAACAAGACTAATAGACATATTTAGAACGCATCAACGGAAAGGAATTGAGGGCTTGTCATTCCCGGAACTCCAACTATCCCATTTCCCGCTCAACGCAATGACCGGTGTGGGCGAAGCATCCGCCATAATCGGCATCATCTCAGCCGGCGTCACATTTATTGAAGCCGCGAAAAAGGTCTATGATGCAGCCGAAAATTCAGAAGATTTGCCCGCCGCCTTTCGTGAAGTCGCCCAGCGTCTCCCTCTCATTCAAGATACCTTGAACATCATAGAGGCGCAACTTGAAAAAGACCCGCTCGATAAGGCTACATATGAAGCAATAAAGAGCACTAGTGAACGAGCCAAGACCAAAGCGGAGCAATTGAAGGTGATCTTTGAAAAATGTATTCCGTTGGAAGGTGCATCAAGATACGCGCGATATGTTGCTGCACTTCGAACCTTGGGGAAAGAGCACAAAGTTGAAGTGTTGATGAAAGATCTGTTAGGGGCTGTGCAGGACATTGCAAACGGTCAGACAATGAGGGCTGCCACGCGAGAGCAAACCATCAAACTTGCCAAAGCACTAGAAGCGGTTTTGGCAGTGGAGCCGTCGGTTCCAGATGAGTTAATTGAGGGGGCGTCAGCTGCGAGCCGCAACGTTCATATGGGCCAAGGCGATATTTATTCAGCAGACGGAGAAGCAGAACAATTCAACGCCAAAGACAACGCGAGACAATACAGAGCAGAGACCATGAATTTTGGAAAGGAGTAAGCTTATAGTTTGCATGATTTTCATTGCATAGAGACTGGAGAAATGGTCCAATGTCGGTCACCTCAAGCCTGCATCTCTTGCAAGCTGGTCTTCCGTTAACCCCTCTTTGACATTCTTTATGTATGTATCAAACTTGTCAGCAATCTTCATGACGTGTTCCAAGTGCGAAAAGCAGAGGTTCTTGCCGCGATATTGTGCCAACTGACGTGCAGTCGTAATGACATTGCGAATCTGTCGCCCATTCATCTCTCGCGTGACCAAGTCATCGATATGATCGTTTATGTCATCAAAATCGACATTGTTACCACCCAGATTCTTGAGCCGCTGGATGAAATTCCGCCATATTTTGCGACGCTGCGCAATGCTGAGCTTGTCATAATGCAGAGTCAACTGGATTCGTGATTTGAAAGCTTCGTCAAAAGTGCCCACTCGGTTGGAGGTGAGTACCAGAATGCCCTGATAGTACTCAAGAACGCGTAGGAACACCGATACCAAGGCATTCCGTGCTAGGTCGTATTGTCCTCGCTCTTCTAAGAAAACATCTGCTTCATCCAACAGGACCACGCAGTCCCATATAAGACCCAGATGAAGTACGGACTCAAGGTAAGTCTCGACTTGCTCTGGGTTTGTTCCAATATCACCGCATGTAACACGGTAAAGAGGCTTCTTTGCAAAGTCTGCCACACTCTCTGCAGTAAAGGTCTTTCCTGTGCCTGGACCGCCGTGTAACAAGATGATAAGACCATTGCCTTTGTCGGCGATGATATCCGTGCCTTTGGATGATACGATTTGGTTCGTGACTACAGCTTCAAGCAGCTCTTTGGCATCATCGTCAATTGCTAAACTTTCAAAAGCTTGTGTATTCCAAGTTACGTCTCGAATGTGGTCCACTTGGAGATCAACTTAACTCGGTATTAGCTTCCGGATCTACTAAATATCGGGAAAAGACCAACTCACTCCAACGCTTACGCCTGAGATCATACGACACGACCGATCTCGGAAACACGAGAAGCTCCGAGGTATCTGGAAATTTGTCTAGTTTGAGTGTCGACTCGAGCATATCACCCCGTTTTGTAGCGCGAAAACTCGATGTCAAAGCCATGTCTTTTGAATCGTTTTCGGGGTTCTGTAGACCCTCAAATTGACTTTTCTCGTACTTTTTCCGTCTATATTGAGAGTAAGTAGCCACATCGACCATGTATCTGTCACCATCCTGTGTCTCAATGAATAAATGTCCACGCACCAAAAAGTGAAACTTACCACACTCATATCCTCTTCATAACTATCAACACACGAAACTAAATATCTTTTTCGACATTTCCAAAATATCTCGCCCCTTTTCTTGAGTCGAGCTTCTAAACCTGTTTCGTCGTATTTTAGGGGGAAAACCTCCAAAGAGGTGATGGGAACTCTAGATCTGTCCGTCGGAGCAGTGATTTTGAGATCGAGAACCGCTGTTGCCCTTCTGAATTCACCATCAAATGACCAAGACCATGCTTCTATATTCCACAGATAATCTTCTCTAGCAACATTTTGTCCAAGAACCTCCGATTTTGTGGTATCTTGGTTATTCGGTTGGATCCCAGAAGCTGGAAGTTTTGCCCGGCCTTGTAACCTGTCTTTGTGTGTCTTCGATTCGAGAGGGAGAGGTCGAACTTTTGACGTATATACATCAATATTTCCGTCTTTGCGTGAATTTGGCTTGAAAGAGTTTGGCCAATGTCCTGCTATACGTGCGTCAATATTTTTGTCTTGGGGTGACCTTGGTTCGAGAAATTTTGGCCAAGTTTTTATGATATATGCGTCGATATTTTCGTCTTTGCGCGAGACCAGTACATCACCAGGACGAATCAGATATTTCACTGATATTGGACATACCATACCCTTCTCAAACTCGGAATCAATATAGTCCCACTCTTCCCCGTATGAGCCTTCGATCCAGTCACGGAAGAGCTTGATCATCGTTCTTTCCTCTGCAGACAGTGATCTCAGTGCCTCTTCCATATTAGTTCGATAGAAAAACCAGAATAGATATGGCTCATGGATTTCTTTAGTTGGATCAAAATCAGGAAACGACTCCTTGAAACCCGAAATGGCATTCAAGAATTTTTTCATAACAGAAACCATTTGCGCCGAGGTCAGTATCACCGCTTCTGTTGAAGGTTGTGGCTGTGGTAAAAAATCGTCTTCGGCCAACTCAGTAGCCGCCGAAAGTTTTGTACCGTTGTCATAATCCTTGAAAGGGACGAAGACAATATCGTCGTGGCGCTTGAGATAGGCGTTCAAGTTTGAGATTGGCGTGTCACCTTTGAGTTCGAAATACCCATATTGGGCGTCTATCCAGGACGGTTCTCGAAGATGGATCCCATTGTTGATGCGATAAAGAGTCTGCCACCTGGGTATAATTTTGGCACGAGGGTTTTGGCTATGCTCATCTTTTCCTCTGTCTTTCGCTCGCCGTTTCATTCGACTGACCTGGGCGCTGAGTTCTTCTACTCGCCGCATCAAAGCCTCCGCGGTCCAAGAAGCATCACAGGCTTGTGATTCGGGTGTTGTGTCAACGTCAGTTACCCGGGGTTCTGAATCATCCGATGCATTTGAGGCCATCTCGACCTTCAAATCGGACTCCTTCTGTGAAGAGGCCGACATAACGCCGTTCGAGCGGTTAGACAATAATTATGCTTTGTTTTCATGTCGTGCGATTTGAATTATTTCTTGATGTCTTTTTAGTTCCCGACGGTAAAGGCTCCGGGTATCATGATATTGGGTTGATTCCATACTCCACACTGGATCCCACTCTGGATTCTCGGCATGAATAGGTCTTTCACGACGATACCGAAGTTGGTGGTCTTTTACAATGGGTTGTGCGGAGTATTTGTACGGTCTTTCCCGACTTCTCCGACGGGCATCGGAAGCATACGTTTTGGTAACAAAGCCAAAATCTTGTTGAGAATCGCTGCCCTTCGGGTAATCTATAACGGTATTGTAGAAGCGCCGCTTTTTTTGGACTTTAACACTATTAGTATACAGAAAATGCCTGTCTTTTGGACTTACCTTGAGAGGAGCCACTCTCGTACTTGGCTCGAGAGCAGAGAGTTGTTGGTCCTGGAAGTCACTTCCCTGGGTGTGATCGTCAAATATAGTCTTGTTCGGGAGAATCCAGTTGTCTGCGGAATCACTCAAGATGAGTTGCTTTCCAGTCCGCTCTTGCATGGGCCGCCTCACTTCTCCCACAGTTGTACACGTAAGATCCGATGCACCACCTTAGGTAGAGATGAAGTGTCCTAGCTCAGAGCCTCCCAGAAAGTGTTCAAAGTATGATACTCAGGTGGCCATTCTAGTGTTTACTTGTACGTAAACCTATGAGATTGATTGGATATTGGATCGCTTTACCGGCGTGTATCTTACCATATTTCAATATGAAGCGAACAGCAATGCCTAAAGCAAATCTCACTGGGGGCCAAAATCGAGTCTTGGATGCACGCAGATGCACACAGATGCAAGGATACTGATTACAGGAGCAACGTTGATTCGATCAGCGTGCAGGAGGCTGAAACCCCGCATTGACACCTACAGCCTGTGAGCCGAAAATCGTCCCATAATTGGCCAAGAGCGGTAGGCGAGATCCAGTACATCATGTAATGAAGAACCCCATTCCTGCGCATCGGTTAGAGCGTGCCGCCAAACTGGTCCATTAAACAGCAAGGCAAAATGTCTTAGCCTGCATCGGCATAGGGTACAACTCATGTGGTATATGAGGCTTGTTCCACTGGCCTACCAGCTGCAAGTTCGAGTTTTGACGACTATGTCAGTGCAATACAATACAACAACAAAAGCTAGAGAATATCCTGATGTCGGCCATGGTGCAGCATCCCATCATGGCGTTGGCGATCAGTTCGCTGTCAATGGAAATGCTGCTCAGTTTAACGCTGTCGGCCAAGCTGAACAGTATAACTTCAGTGGAGCAAGCAGCAGCATGAATGTGTTTATCGGTGAGTTCATATTTTACCGAAACTTCGTTCTAAGAGCGGTACAGCAACCTTGGTTCGAACAACTTCCTCATGTTGCAACCTTTCATGTTACCTCACACCGCCTGTGCAGCCAAAAAGCAATCGTCAGCTTGTACACATCACTAATACTAAGTTTTAAGGCTTAGAAGCATTCAAAAATGATGGTTCTCTCAACAATTCACTGAAATTGGCCTTGAGTATGTTCCGAGACGTATAGATAAGTGCGGGAAAATGGACTAATTTATGCCTAAGATAGCCGAAATATTCAAAACAGCGATTGTGTGGATTCGAACATGTCCTTATCCCGAACCCAGGCGAATGAATTCCTAAAATCATTGGAATCTCGTATGATGCTGGCCGTGCCGAAGTCATGGCAAGACTTAAAGTGGGGACATCGAGAGCAAGCAGTGACGAAAGCAAATCCCTTCTGGCTTCAACCGAAGTTCCAAACGTGGTGCTCCAAATCTGAGAACACTCTGCGTTTTGTTAAAGGCTCTTATCAAAACCGGTCGCAGATCAAGAATTTCTGCTTAGATTTCATCAAGCTCATGGAGGATGCGAGGGTCCCGCTCCTATGGGCGTTGAAACCGAACGCCTGTGAACGCGCGAATGGGTTCTCTCCGGAATGTGTATTAAGTTACCTGACAGTGCAAGCATTGACCGTATACTTGAACCAGGAAAAGACCTCAGGAATATCAGAAAAGCAGGCAGCTCAAATTCACGGAAAATTTCAAGATGCTTCAACCCTCACAGATTACATTCATCTCTTGTGCTCTAGCATATCAATATCTCGATTACCTGAGGTCTGTATCCTTGTCGATGTACAGTTGCTTGATACCAGACAACAAGGATTCCGGGGGCATATCGAGTTGATGAAGGCGCTATCAACCACTCAAAACCGCTTGCATAAAGACGGCTCTAGGACAGTGGTCAAAGCTCTCTTGGTGAGCTATGGAGGAGTCATATTCGACGACCATGAATCACCAGATGTGATAAAGAATGTTATCTTGGCTGGTAATAGTAGGTATGGGAAGGGTAAGCCGGTACAACGACGCCACGAGGTAGGCCGCTTAGTATCCTCTCACTTCGGCGGCCGTGGAAGGGTTCGACGCTTGTAACATCGCTCATGACTAGGTCGAATGCAACATTTTCAACAAAAATAACTAGAAGCCACTTGATCGAGTGCAGCTTCATGTTCACTGAGCGTTCGACCCCCTCGCATCATAATGTCATCTAAAACAGAAACCTAACAGTAGAGAGTCGTGACATAAGATCAATAGGCTTTGTGGTAATCAATTTTAGGGATACTTGGACATTCCGTCCGGTCTGGCATAAATAACCGGGTTACCAACGGATTAGTAGCGTGACAGGCCACCATCCTACTGTTAAAATCGACAACGCGCCAGAAAGTTGATAACTGTAGACCTTCATAACACTACCATGATGTCACTATAATAATTTTTTCAGAGAAACTATCTTCTCCGCATCTCTCAGGGCTCATATACTCTAAACTCATGATTAAGTGGTGATTGTAGCGACAAGATGCTGGCTATTTTGGAATTCTGGGGATTTCGTCCACTGGGTGCGCGTGGGTCACATGATATGGCTTCCTTCCCTCCCATCTTCCATGATTTACCACTGAACACACCAACCTCAGAATCCTCACCTATCTGCAATCAGACCGGATTCTCTCAACCCTCACTCAGTATTTAGTTCATCCACGGATGCAGGCGCGCCTGAGTGCGCGGCTGGGCGTGTATGTACATTGAGTTCACTCACTCAAGCACCACCGCGCGCCATGCTACCTCAACGCGAAACCAAGTCCACCATTTCACTCATGCAAACCCACCTCAACGCTCGACCCATTTCACAGAATCCCAATCATCACTATCGCGCTTTTGAGCAAGTAAAGCGCAATCGCATGTCCCCCACCACCCCCAGGCTCCCACCACCTTCATCCCTCCACCCACCCCATAACCCAGCATACCCCCCAAACAACACGTCATAAACCCCTTCCACTATGCGCCAAGCGCAAATCTACGCGCGCAAAGTAAATTGCGCGCTACAACGCGTTGTCGCGTTTTTGGTATTCATAGCCTCCCCACCGCGTTGGTTGTCTTTGTTCGGGCTCAGCTCAGCTTCACTTACGGGAGAAAAGCTTGGATCTTTTGTGGCGTCTGACGTACCTGGAAATAATACAAAAAGTGACCGTCACCTCGAGTTTGGCTGCGCTTGGGCTGGGATTGCAAACGCGACTTCGACTTCACTCGCGTAGTTTTTAGTCTTGCTTGGTTTTATATAGAGAGGGGAGGATACTCTTTCCTTTTGACCATCTCCCTCGTTGTTGGATCTGCTGTTTGAAAGCGTACAAGTCTTGTCGGTTATCTGATCTATATGCCTTCTGGTTAGTATATCCTTGTTTTATTGGCGCCTTGATTTAGTTTTATCCTGTCCCTCTTCTCCATACCAATTGGGTGAGTTGGGATTTATACTTAGCTCTACAGTGTATCAATTCATAATGGCGCGCATTATCGACGACCTCCTAGCTCTTATGGCAGCGACACCACTCCCAGCCATCGAAGAAGGGGAACTCGATACCCCAAACGACACCGCGCCTTATGTTCGCCCAAAAACCCGTTCGCAAACCCGCGCCGCCCGACCATCGCTGAAGATCCGCCTCCCTGTCCCCGCGGCCCATGTTGTCAAAAATTCCCATAGCAAAAAGCGTAAACCCAACTTCACCATCTTCACCGACGATGATACAACAAGCGACGTCTCGTCAGCCATATCCACCCCCAAGAGATCAAGAACAAATACACCGCGTACTCCCCTGAGCGAGCGAACCTACTCCACAAACTCCACGCCCGCACCATCCCCCCGCCACTCTTCAACCCCCTTCTCGCTCTCCCCTTTGGACCCCTACTGGGAGAACCTCGAAAACTACGCTCCATTCACCGTACCCGCTACTCCTCCCACAACACCACCTACCGTCTCCCCTCCATCCCCTCAGCTCTCTTCAGCCCACCCCGTCAACTCCCGTCCTTCCCGTCCTTTCACGCCATCCCACCCTCCTCCCGCCTCCCCACAATCCCGCCTCCCCCCACCACCACCCAACACCCTCCTCTACACCCTCCTCGGCCTCACCTCCTGGCGCGCCACCCCCTTCACAATCAAAAAATCCTACCGCCGAATGGCGCGTACACTGCACCCCGACAAGGCGTCGTCAGAGGAAGAAAGGGTGAAAGCGAATGCGGCAATGCAGCGACTCAATGCTGCGAGGGATGTGTTGGTGGATGCGGAGAAGAGGAAGGAGTATCATAGGACGGGGGTTGTGGATTGGGTTGGTTGAGGGTGTTGGGTTGAAAGGCTGGTTGCGTGCCGTATCGTGGTTGTGACATGTTTTCGAACTCTGGGGAAAGGGAAGATGGAAAATAATGCTTTGATCCCGCAGTCTTGTCTACTTGGTTCGGTGCTATTACGCTATGTGGACAATGGGTAATATTTGCTGTTTGCCATCTGCCGGACAACGAGCGAGACTAGCAGCAACGGTATATGTAGTCATGGGGGTAAATTCTTGGACTAGGAATAAATCAGCCTTTGTTATTTTCTCACATGATATACCCTTCCTTTTGTTTTTCGCTTATTCGTTCGATGGGGCAAGAGAGATTGTAGGTTTCACAGAAATAAGCAAGATATGACTTTTACCCCAAAAATCGAGAGAGGAGAGTATAGTTTGTTATTTTTGGCAGACGATTTTCGCTACATCGTTCGACGTAACATGTCTTCGCATGCATGTCGTCTTGCAGAATTTCTGCCGTATATATGTAGTGCGCTATGCTTCGGCCCGATTTTCTACATGCAGTGTTCTCGTATCTGATCCTTGTTTCTGGCTATTTGGTATTTTCCTCCTTTTTTCCCGTCTTTTCCTTCTTTCTATGCATTGTCCCTACATGGCCGTTGAGCCCTTGATATATCTTGAATGCTTTTCTGGTTTCTAAATTTTGAATTTTTCCCTGTATACCGCGCCATATGAAAACATATCCTATGTACTTTGGCGTCTTCGAGACTACTTGAACAGATTGCCTGGTTCAATATCCCTCAGTCCTGATTCGTACATAGGAATCTGCGTTGCTAATGTATCCCCTGAAACTCGGCCCAACGCTCCAGTTTGTCAGATTCCGGATAACATCCCTTGCTGTGTCGCACAAGTCCACTCGGCCAGTCTCTTCATTTTTATGCAGTGCCTCTGGGGTGGCAAAGGACCAATCACACTGAATGTTGAGGCTCATATCCATGAGCCACTCCATGCGTTCCTGCATTGCAGGCATTTGAACAGCGAGTTCGCGGAAGGCAGGCCAGACGACAAAATCGACGATGTTGATGTGTGGCATAAAAAGCTGATTCGGGGTCGGACGGAGCCATTCCGGCATGGCATTGTACGTCTCGGGGGAAGGGGAAATCATCCAGCGCATCAATGACCAAAAAAGGTACATGAACCCGAAGCATGTAAATGTGTTGCCTATTCTAGTGAGCAAAAAGGATTTCGAGAGTTTGCAAAAGGGTGTGAATAGTTACCTTTCAGAAACATTCCATGCACCATACCAACTGCCCATTTGGAAAGAATGCCCGATTTTTTGTATACTTCTTCGTCAAACAGAGCAGCAATATTCGGGTGCTTCTCAATAATTTCTTCGACCGGATGTCCGTTGTCTATCAAGTTTGTTGCCTCGTGCAGTACACTCGGTACGGTACGCTTGAGCGAACCAGGATCAGGGACTGTATTGATTGGAAGCATAGCCCATGTTGGCAGGAAAAGATTGCGAGTATGCGTGTCCTGAGATTTTGAGTACTGGCTCGACTCGGCGCTAGTGGGAAAAGGTGTGTTGTCGAAGAAGCTGCGAATATCGAGATTGGGGTGGATGCGGATAGTGTTCACAATCGGTTGTCGGCCAACGAGGTGAGTGGAATAAATTGAGCGAACTCTGTTGTGTCTGTGCGGAGACAGTCTTTGGCTTTGGGAAGACCTTTTTGACGAGGACGAGGGGATGGGACGTAGGTCAAAAGTTGAAGCCTGCTGAGTGAGTCGTGGGTCAATGTTTCTCTCCTCAATTTCATCATCGCCAGCGTCATCACTTTCGCCCTCGCCTTCGGCCTTGGGTAGCAGAAAGTCGTCTCGGTCAAACAAAGGGCACAAGAAGAACTGCTCTTCGCTGATACTCGACTGCTTTCCTCTCCCCGGGGGCGCAAATGCAGAATATGGAAGATTTGCAGAAGGTGACCAAGCAGTAGTTTGACCTGGAGGCGATGCCAAAGATGTGCTGGAACCTTGGCCAAACTTGGGAGTAGGTTTGCTTGGATCGAAAACGGAGTCATGGCTCATTGCACTTCCAGAGGTATCGGTGGACTCCTGGCCCAGTAAGCTGAACTCCGGTTACCATTGTGCTTTTTGCAGCTATAGAGGAAGCTGTAATATAGTGATGCGTACCTGGGGGGTTGGGTGGATGCTGCTGGAGAGGGTACCAAGGAGAGGGACTTTGCAACATCTTCGGGTGTGTCACCAAGTCGAAGTCTTGCTAAAATGGCCGTGGCTTGGTCGTCTGTGCCTGAGCGGAGGAAGTTGATGATGCGTTTGAGATCTTCGAGCTCGCCGGTCATGCTGTCCCTCTTCATAATCTTCATGCGTTCAGCTCTGGAGACGCCCTCGGCGACATCGTATTGGCATATGAGATCGTTATCCTTGCAGCGGTTACATCGTGGCCTCGTGCCGTCGCACTGCAGATTACTGAATTAGCAGCCTTCGGGAGAGGGTCAAAGGCAGCAGTCGGCCACCTACAGGTAGTATCACAGCCAGTGATTACCCATAGAAGAGTAGTGAAGGAACTACAGTGGCACATGTGGCTGACAGGAGGGCCTTTAGTACTTTGCATTGGTGGCAGGCATCAGCTGCCGGTGAAAGTCAAGGCAAAGTACCTCCAGGTCACCGAAGACTCATGACACTGGCTGGGTGTAACACGGTCCTACGTACCTTGGCCTTCCCGTTGCGGCAGTGCACACAAGCCACAGCAACGGCCTGCCTCCGCTTCCGACGGTCTGGCGGGGCGCGTCGCTGTCCGGGCTCGTCTGAGGCAGGAGCAATATTCTGCCATCGATCTGAGAGGTCCATGGCGCGGGCGATGTGGTTGTGGTTGAAGTTGGCAGCTGGCAAAGGCTCCCAGGTTGATGGTGGTGTTAGTGGTGGAGCCTGTGGAGTTCTCGGCGATGAGCGACAAGCTCGCGCCAATGGAAGTGCTGATGGCAACGCCGCAAGCTCTCTGAAGTCAACGGGGCGGCTCTGGTTGTTTGTGGCATCGGAGTCGTTCTCGCCACGTTACGAGGGCAGGGAGAGCACATACACACCCACAATCGTCAGGCTGGCCCCAAAAACCCGCCTCTTGTGCTCTTGTGCAAATAAGACTTGCGACTTGAAGCGATTCCTCGGTTCAAATCGCCGACGAAAAACATGTTGCGGAGAGGGTTTCCTAGCCAATGAGGGGACGAGTGATCAGCTCACGTGCTGTCAGGGCGTATTTTGGATACCCAAAGCGTGGACGGCTTGGGATGACAGGCGTGGGACACCTGTCAAGATGCAAAAGAGCCACGACGTCTGCTCTGCTCTCTTCTACTTTTACGCCTCAGCACGAGGGCTAGCTTCGGCGGCACACGTGTGGCCATGGCCGCGCGGATGGAGAGGCACCATGGCGACGGGTTCCAGGCTTCAGGGCTTGCCATGGCCGCGGCGACCAACAGGGCCGACATGGTGCATGGAGTGCATGGCGGAAGCAGTTGGTGTGCCAGGAGAACCTGGGTCGTTGGGCCGCCATGGCCCGCCCATGGGCGTGTGGTGACGAGTCGATGTGCGGCATGTGGCGGTGCGCGAGGCTGAGGCTGAGGCTGAGGCTGAGGCTGAGGCTGAGGCTG